ATATTTATGAATAAATAAATAAATATATATATATATGTATATATATATATATTATAATTATGTGTATGTATGTGTATGTATATACATATATATATATATATGCATTACATATGTATACATACATACGTACATGCATACATACATACATACATACATACATACATACATACATACATGCATGCATGCATGCATGCATGCACACACATACATGCATGCATACATACAAACATACATACAAACGTACCTCATACATACATACACACATACCTAATTTAAATACATACATACGTACGTATGTGCATACATGTGTGTGCGTGTATGTATGTATGTATGTATGTATGTATCTACACATATGTATATATGTATATCTGATATGATATATGTATGTATGTATGTATATGTATGTATGTATGTATGTATGTTTGTATGTATGTATGTATTTATGTTTGTCTGTATGTCTGTATGTATGTCTGTATGTCTGTCTGTCTGTCTGTCTGTCTGTCTGTCTGTCTGTCTGTCTGTATGTATGTATGTATGTATGTATGTGTATGTATGTGTATGTAATTTCATTTGTTTCATTTCCAAGCATTCAGAGGAGTTTGCGGGCTAATTAAGTTGGAAACGAAACCTCTGACTGCCAGTATGCACTAGCCGATGTTAGACACAAGCTGAGCAGAAATCTGGCACGTCAGGGTTTGGGCAGGGAAGGCAAACCGCTGTAGACCCAGCTAGCTGCAAAGCAGCACGTAAAAACCGTAAGCAGTTACGCCACATCCTGCAACATAATTAAGCGAACTACTTCGCTCAGCGTGGTCATTGTGACTCTGCGCGGCCTCGTAAACGACAGGGAACGGGAAAACACATACCAGAGTGCTACCCGTCAGGCATCATGCAAACTAGGACATTGGGCTACTTAGCGCGGTGCGGCAAACATGAGGTGCCGTGGCGATTGGCTGCCACAGCACAGGACTCTACAATGCAAAGATTCAAACTCGGAAAGAGAGATGCTTTGCGTTCCGTAATACGTCGGCGATCAAGCACCACACGAAACTACACTACCAAGCCCTGTCCGGTCCCGCACAGTGACTAGTGTATGCGAGATGAGGGGAAAGGAAATCCGCGCCATAACGGCGAAAGCGCGAGGGTTTACGGCAGCGCGGCAATTTAAGCCCCACACTGTGATATCAATCTGGGACAGCGCTCACTTGCGACGAGGAGTCCAATGCACTTGGGTCGTTGACCACGGCTCCACGTCGGGCTAGCCTTCCCGTCACCACAAGGGCCGGCCCGGCTTCAACATGGCGGTATTGCAGGGCCGCCAGATGCTGCCAGCTCCAGTGGCGGCTCTCAACTTGCGCCATAACAGTGAAGTCAGGGCAGACGTGTCTTCTGGTAGTGTGGCGACCAACCTCTCCGGTACCTCTTGACGGAAAGACACGGCCTCACAGGTTGGTACACAATGCTACTCGTCAGGCGCCATCCCTTTGGCCACAAGTGCTTCAAGATTTGAAGATGAACGTCCTCGCCGAAGTTGCCCCCCCACATGCTTATGCAGCACAATACAGTCATGAAGGCGAAGTTCTTGTCCGGCGAAAAGCAGTCCATCATGACGAAGCGTGTGATGTAGGCCACATTGTCCTGCCGCGTAAAGGCGACGATCTTGCCAGACGCATCGCCCTCCATCTTACTAGAGCTCACGGACGTACCGCCTTCCGCAGAGCGGCCGTTGCATGCGGTACATGGGGCCTTCAAGATACCCGCTGCTGGGTCACTTGGGCCCTATGTGTATGTATGTATGTATGTATGTATGCATGCATGCATGCATGCATGCATGCATGTATGTATGTGTGTATATAGATTTATATATATAAGCCGGCGTGCGCTTCTGGTCCAAGGAATAGAACTGGCACAGTACATGAACGGCCACGGGCACATCTCGACCACTTTGGGCTACATTTTGGGTATCGTTCGGGTATCGATTCGTCCAATTTAGGGCCGTCGTCTCATTTCCCAAAATTTCCGTCCCTACAGTCTCGACACCCTTACTAAAACCTAAACTCCCGACACCCTCTCTTCAAAGAAACCCGGAGCCAGGGGTTACGATGGCAACATTGCTGTATTAGAGCATTAAGGGTATCGTCTTTAGCGCGTCCCCTATCGTTTTACAGGTCACCGCTGGCTGTTGCCATCTTCCACAACCGCCTGCTTACGAGCAATATACCATAGTTTTGACCCCATCTCATATGTAGACAGAGATACACACCTAACTAAACAGACAGACATTCAGACCGTGTCTTTGAAAAGATATGCGGACATGCACGTACCAATACAGGTTTGTTTATATAGCAGATAATGTGGCAACACACATGCACGCGGAGACACAACACATCAATAAAACGCCATGATGCGCCCTAGACGATACAACGCTCCAAGAAAACATGCTGCAACAGGTGCCGAAGAAGCACAGCATACCACAAGCATAGAACAACATGCAATGACACACCGTGCAGTGCGCCGTACAGCATCAACGCCCGAAAGCTAACAGTGGCATGGCTATGGTTGTGCCGATGACCGCCACCACTGCCAATACTCACCGTGCCGCCGAGACAAAACGATGACCAGCTGGTGTCACGATTTCAATTTACGTCAGCTTATGTCGCTGACCTAACACGACTGATGTTGGTACTGTACTGCCTCAATGGTATAAACCAGCGGCAAGTGGTGCCAACATAAATACTGATAAATAGCTGGATTGTGGGGGAACACCTTTGCTGGTATTCCATCGGCCTGAATCTGGTTCAGGATCTCAAAGAAGCTTGGGCCCGGGACGGGCTGCAAGCTAAAGCTCAGGCGGCCTCGCAACCTGAAAAGGATCCGAGACGGCCTTTAGGCCAGGTTTTGGGGTCCGAGAAAGGGCTTCAGATTTGGAGGCAATGTCTCTTCGCGAAGAAGCTGAACCTAGCCCTTCCCTTTCCAAGCATCTGAAAGCGGACCCAGACCAAGGCCCAAGGCGCTGGGACTCCTGTCGTTGCATCGAGGGTGGACTTGCGCCAGGGGAGGGCGGATCCGGATTGCGGGCCGGCGCCTCGATGAACTCCATGGCGACGAGGAAGTTCGCGCTGCTCTAAAGTCTTGTTTCTCACAGGGATCAAGCATTCTGTCGCTCTGCGGGACACCTCTACAGCGAAAGCTGAAGGCAGCCAGGACTGAGCGCAAGAGCAACGTTAGCACTGTCCAGTTGTCTAGCATGGAACCAGTTCATGTTTTTTTCAGCTAGCTGTACATGAGAGCAGGCAGCTCCCTTCTCCATGTTGCGGCCAGCCCTTGAACTGAATTGGGCTCTGAACTTGGCGCCAATTAAAACGCGAAGTAGTGGGTGTCTTGACGGTCCGTGAGGGCCTCGGGGTAGCTCCAACATCTACGATCGAAGACACAGCTGGAGAGCCGTGATATGGAGGTGGTTATGCCTTGAGGGCTACGCGCAATTGATCGTGCTCGATCCCAAGTGCAACGGTACGACCTCTATGTCGATGCCCGGTCCGTCACCTTAAAACCCAAACATCGCATGATTTGAGCTTGGACTTTTTCACTGCACCAACGCACGAATTCCTGGCACCAACACACGAGCCGCCCCGGCTCATAGAATAACAGAGCGGCGTTCTCGGGCCTCTGGCTTCTGGGATCTGCCCATGAAGAGTTGCTGGAAACCTGTCATCGGCAGATATCAGCCCCCAAACGGAATTAGCGAACCCTCGAAGTCCACGACCCGAGCGCCAATCGATTGCTTCGTTCGGAAGATCTGATCCTTCGAGACCCTGCCACGTGCAGGAAGAGAAGCACAGGAAAATCCGTTCTCCTTCGGAGAGCGCATGAGTGGTGTTAAACGGGGCGGCAAGTCCGAAAGATGCCTCGTCTAAGGTGGTATCACGTGCTCAGACAAAACCGAAGTTTAAGCGCCCCTTCAAGGGCAGATTGGCCAATTTGGGTTCATTATGGTTCATGCCAGTTCATCTTCCACCTCGTCGTAAGCACAAGTCACAGGACGCGCAATGGACCCTCAGAGTCTGGTCACTAGTCCAGCGGTTCAGGCTCAACTCTGTCCAGCCGGCTGTCGCGTCGAATCTCGGAAGCGACTTTGATAGACCACCTGTGCTTCGGAACAGGTCATGGAGACAAGCGCAACCACACAGCCACTGCAGACCGAAATCCACGCAACTGTGCCGTTCAAGGCTCGCCGGATCCATCTCGAACTGACCGGGATCGAGGGGCAAATCGGAGACTTCCTCTGCCGACAGTCGATTCCTCGCCCACAGCGGCCACAAGGGTTTATTGCATGGTACAGTTCAAGAATGTTTTCAGTTTGAAGACGTATCGGGGTTCTGTGGCTCTGAAAACTCGACTCCTGTAGATGGACAAACAGGCGCTGAACCTATGAGAAACGCCGAACTGAAATTCAGCCCAAGACCCAAGCCACAAGCAAAAAAGTTACCATGCTGGGGCCAAAAGACATCGTCTCCACATAGGAGCGGGCGTAGACCACGGCTACGGCCTCAGGAAGGGTTGGTATGTGTTTGCTGGCCGGCTGGGGGCCCAAACCCAGAACACCCTTCTGGTTTGTGCCAGCACGCCAGAACATCCGAGTAGTCGTTCAGCACCGAGCGGACCTCCACCGTAGCCAAGTGAAGCGCTCTACTCTCCACTGTGGCCGCCAGCCTTCCCTGATGCTTCCTGGTCCAGTGCTTTGCATTCCGGGTTCGAGACGTTCGAGGTCTGGGGTCTTGGGACCAAGGTATGAATCCCTAGAGCCCAAGTGCATTCCTGGACAAATGCTTGAGAGAGAATCTGCACAGCCGCTTCTTTGAGAGAGAAAAGCTCGTGACAGTGCCAGCCTGACCTATAAACCGCCAATCCCGTAACTGCCCCAAAAGACTGCTGTCTGCGCCCGGCGGCCAGCCCCGGATCCACATTGCCTGCTCGCTGAGGTAGTCGTCAGCGGAAACATGAACTGGAGGTTTCGAAGGTTTGCTCTCACTCTGCCGTCGCCCTGCCAGGGCTATGAGGTCATGACAAAGGGACCCGACTTGCAAACAGAAGCGGCACCCCCGGCCCTGGCCTTCTCTTTTTTCACCTAGTCGATCGCTCGTGCCGGCGACGACATTGAAGAAGCGCAGGGCAATTCCCGGTGGTGATGCTGACTGCCGAGCCTTGTCTCTGTCTGGTGAAGATGTGAGTGGCTGGTAGAACTCAGCTCCTTGAGCGTACTGAGCTGCACCTGATGCCAGGATATATATCCCTTCACCTTTCTCATTGCCACGGAACATCTCATCATGCTCCAGGAGGTAGAGCTCTTTCGCCGCTTTGTTGCACAGTTGCAATTCCATAGTGGGGTTCATGGCCCCGATTTCCATGAAGAGGGGATGGCAAGCCAGTGTGATGGAGCGGGCCTCGTGGAACAATTCTTTAACAAGAGCCTCGGGGAGCGTCAGTAAGAATTGCATATGATCCTGGATGCTGGCCCGGCAATGCTCCCGTTCCACCAGCCTTTTCACCTTCATGGTGTGAGCATAGGACACCCCACATGTTCCGCAGTACTTTCTGACAGACTCCAGGATCTGCGCCATCTTTCGTGTTCTACGAGCAACATCCGCCATTAGGTTGGTCAAGATACTGACAAACATTGAGGAAATGATCAAAGAAGCAAATGTGGCCATGATGGCCAACCAGCGCTCGAAGGCGGTGTGGAGCTCGACGTTGGCTCTCAAAGAAGATGCCGGCAACCGAGACACGGCCCACTCCACGCTTCGTATATACTGTTGGGCGAACGGAGCCTCATGCAGACCTTCATTAAATGCCCAACCATGTTCGACGGTCCCTGCCACAAACCACAAACTTGCCAGGAAATGCACTGCAGCTGCAAGGCCGAACATCAAGCAAAGGACCGGCAGCAAAGAAGACGAAATCCGGCCTTGGAAGAACAGCCTGAAATGCCTGTAGCAGCTCAACTTCTTTAGGACAACCATGGCTTTCTGGAATCGGAGAATCCGAACGAAACGAACGACGCGCACCAGGCGCCGTGCGCGCAAGGCCCGCAGCAGGCCGGATGCTGCTGGGTCCTCGGATTCCTCTCCCGGCTGTTGCGAGAGCGCGCTGGCGAAGAAGACCACCTCCGGCGCCAACATAAGCATGTCGAAGAGAAACCAAGACCTCAAGTACACGCGCGCCACATCGGCAAGCTTGGTGTGCAGGATGTCATTGATATAGACTGCTGTAAGGAATGATGCTGGCACGTCCAGAACCCAATAGCTGGTGGTTGACCAGTGTAAGACGTCCCCAACCTGCCGGACTCCCCCTGAAATATCATAGACTTGGAGTGGAGCTGTCAAGACCTCAGATTTGCTGAAAAGGATGTCTACTTGGTTCCCAACACCTCGACCGAAGTCCATGTCGCAGCTATTCCGTCCCTTCCCGGAAGGTATCATCAAGAAACTTGTGACATGAGACAAAACAGCTTGATAACCTAGCCACCTCCACCAGCAAGGCCACCATAGACAGGATGTCCCAAAACATCCTGTGCATGATGTTGAGTATTGCAGCGCAAGCCACTGGACCCGGAAACTGACATTAGGAAACACAGCTAGCCGACAAATGCTGAACTTGAAGTTCATAATCTGAATCCAAGAACCACTGGAGTCACTAGGGTCACTCAAGCCTTGCAGCCCCAAGCTCCTCTTGGGCGACTCAGGGCTGATGGCACAGCCCTGTGCAGGTCGCTCGGTGGCTGTGCGAAGCTTCCGAGCTGCGCCCGAAGTCGTCGTCGTCTGCCGCGGCCTGGAGCTGCCAGGCTGAGGGTTCAGGAACCCGCACCCTAAACCCCATCCTCGGACTACTGGTAGTAGCAGTAGGACGAGTAGCAGTAGGACGAGTAGCAGTAGGACGAGTAGTACGACGAGGAGTAGTAGTAGTAGTAGTAGTAGTAGTAATAGTAGTGGTAGCAGCAGCAGCAGCAGCAGCTGCAGCAGCAGGAGGAGGAGGAGGAGGAGGAGTAGTAGTAGTAGTAGTAGCAGTAGTAGTGCTAGTA